ACTGTGTAATTCCGTGCAAATGACCTCAACTAAGCTTCTCTTGAACCTGAATGATGTTTACCATGCCTTGATAATCATCCAAGCTTCGATTTGCTTGTTGTATGTTGTTTTCAACCCAGATCTGCTCAATAAGGCCATTTAAAAACTTCATGCATCTTCTTAGCTCTAACTTGCATGACTGGACCTCCTTGGGTGTGTAATGGATCACATGATGTAGTAGATATGCTGTCATCTTGATTCCCATCAGTAATGGCAATAAATCCAAAGAAGTAAGTGGATTAAAACCATACGCAACCTCAAATGGCGAGCAGTTAGTTGCTGAATGGATGCTCCGGTTATAAGCAAATTCAACGTGGAGCAAACACTCTTGCCAATTCTTCAAGTTCTTCTGAATAATAGATCGCAATAAGGTTGACAACGTCCTATTAACCACTTTTGTTTGTCCATCAGCTGCAACAAAATACCCTAAAAAGACAATCTGATTTGTGGAAAAGGAATACTTTTTAAGGTTAGCAAACAACTTTTCTTTTCTTAGAACCTCAAGTACCATTTGCAAATGCTCAATATGATCAGTTCAACTCTTGCAATATACCAGAATGTCATCAAAATAAACAACCACAAATTTGCCAATGAAAGCATGCAAAAACATGATTCATTAATCGCATGAATGTACTAGGCACATTAGTTAATCCAAATGGCATAACTAACCACTCATATAAACCATGTTTTGTTTTAAAGGCTGTTTTCCATTCATCACATTCCTTCATCCTAATCTGATGATATCCACTCTTTAAATCAATTTTAGAGAATATGCAAGAACCATGCAACTCATCTAACATGTCATCTAATCTAGGAATAGGGTGACGATACTTTACAGTGATTTTGTTGATTGCATGACAATCAATGCACATACGCCAAGTCCCATCCTTCTTAGGCACAAGTAGCACTGGAACTGCACATGGACTCATATGCTTTCTCTCACATGTCCCTTTTTCATGAGTTCTTCGACCTGCCTTTGAAGTTCTTTCGTCCCATTGGGATTGCTTCAATATGCTGGTTGGTTTGGAATTGCTGCACCAGGAATGAAGTCAATTTGATGCTCGATTCCTCTTATTGGTGGCAAACCATTAGGAATGTCATCTGGAACACATCCTCAAAGTCCTGCAAAAGAGATTTAACAACACTAGGCAAAGAATCATTAAGTTCGTTAGTGTTGAAATAAGCATCTTTATACAGAAGCACAAACATAGGCTGCTTTGCAAAGAATGCAACCTTGACATCACTTTCTTTTGCAGAAACACTCACTGATTTTCTCTCTTTGTTTTCAACACTCTCGATCTTTTCTCTCTTTTTAACTCTTTCTCTACTGTTTTCTCTCTGTTTTTCATATCCTCAAGCTCACTCTCTTTTCTCAGCTTACTCTCTCTTTTCAGTCTCAGTTGATCCTCATAAACTTGCCGTGGACTCAACGGCACAAGAGTAATTGTTTTGCCTTCCATGATGAACGAATAGCGATTTTTGAAGCCATCATGTGTTACTCTCCTATCATATTGCCATGGTCTCCCTAAAAGTAAAATGTCCAGCAAGCATGGGAACCACGTCACACAGTAGCTCATCCTTATGTCGTCTGATAGACAATGAAACCAGAACTTGCTTATTTAACCTTAATTTCTCCACAATCATTTAACCATTGCAGCTTATATGGCCTTGGATGCTTCATCATAGGTAAATTAAGCTTTTCAACCAAAACAGTGCTAGTTACATTAGTACAACTGCCACCATCAATAATCACACTACATACCTTATTTTTGATAGGGCACCTCATGTGAAATATGTTGTCACATTGTACTTCATCATCTTCTTTGGCTTGCACATTCAAAGCACGCCTGGTGACAAGCAGTTCTCCATCAACAGCATATTCCATGCCATCATCAGCATCTTCCAATGGTGGCATAGAGTCATCATCAGATTCACCCTCTGTTTCAATTTCTCCATCCTCTTTCAAGATCATCATGTGCTTATTAGGGCATTGCGACGCAATATGCCATCTTCCCAAGCATCGAAAACACTTAATGTCTCGGTTTCTGCCTTGCATACTATCAGTTTTACTCTTCTCACTACTGCCAACGTCTTTTGACTTAGATGCTGAAGTTTTAGGCTTAAAAGCAGAAGTTTCTTCCTTTTTGCTCCAATTTGGTTTCCAAGAAAATGAGGAACCTGGATTTTGCTCAGTTCTGGTGGTGGCACCTTTACGCTTGAGTTGCCTTTCTACTTTCATTGCCATGTGCACCATATCCTCTAATTCAACATAATGCTGCAGTTCCACCACATTAGCTATACCACGATTTAAACCATGCAGAAACCGTGCCTAACACTCGTGTTTCACACACTGCAGAACTTGGCTTTTCTCTCAAATGTTGCTCACACCTCTTGCCTTTTTCCCTCACTCAACTTTCCTCTTTCAGTTCGTTATTGAAAACAAGCTCAATTCAAGTTATTTTGCAGCAATCTAACTCCAACAAATCTACAAGAGTTAGGAAACAAAAAGACACAAAGGAACGACCAAGAAAATCAATAAAAGAACCAACCGAAACAAATTAAAACAAACAGATCAGTTCAAGCACTTCCTAGTAGGAATTGACTTGACTATTCCTTAATGTAGCAGGATTCCTAACATAGGAAGGAATAAACAAAATTGCTATTTCCTTGTTTCAACAGAATTCAAAGAAAATTTCCAACTCCTTATTGTAGTAGAATTCCTTCTTCCAACTTTTTACTGAAGTAGGATTCCTTCTTCTTTAAGGATTCTATTTTTGTTGTTGTTGACAGGTTCTCGAAGATGGCACACTTCATTCCATGCATAAAACTGACGATGCAACCAATATTGCAGATCTATTCTTCAAGGACGTTGTTCATTTACATGGCATTCCAAGGACTATCGTTTCTGATTGTGATGTCAAGTTCTTGAGTTACTTTTGGAAGACATTGTGGGGAAAGCTGGGAACTAAGCTACTGTTTTCAACTACTTGTCATCCACAAACTGATGGACAAACAGAAGTGGTTAATAGGACGTTGTCAACCTTATTGCATTCTATTATTCAGAAGAACTTGAAGAATTGGGAAGAGTGTTTGCCGCATGTTGAATTTGCTTATAATCGGAGCGTCCATTCGGCAACTAACTGTTCGCCATTTGAAGTTGTGTATGGTTTTAATCCACTCACTCCTTTAGATTTATTGCCTTTACCTATTGACGAACAAGCTAGTTTGGATGGGAAAAAGAAAGCTGAAGTGGTTAAGCAACTGCATGACAGGGTGCGACAAAGCATAGAGTGACGAACTGAGCAATATGCAAAACAAGCCAACAAAGGATGCAAGAAAGTTGTATTTGAACCTAGAGATTGGGTTTGGGTGCATATGTGCAAGGAGCGATTCCCTGCACAAAGGCGTTCTAAGCTGCAACCAAGAGGCGATGGACCATTTCAAGTGATTGCGAGGATTAATGACAACGCATACAAGTTGGAGCTTCCTGGTGAGTATAATGTTAGTGCTACTTTTAATATTTCTGATCTTTCTCCTTTTGATGTAGGTGACGATTTGAGGACAAATCCTTTTGAGGAGAGAGGGAATGATGGGAATCAAGACGACAGCATATCTACTATGTCATGTGATCCATTACACACCCAAGGAGGTCCAGTCACGCAAGCTAGAGTTAAGAAGATACGTGAAGCTTTAAATGGCCTTATTGAGCAGATCTGGGTTGAAAACAACATACAACAAGCAAATCGAAGCTTGGATGATTATCAAGGCATGATAAACATCATTCAGGTTCAAGAGAAGCTTAATTGAGGTCATTTTTGTTAAATTACCCAGTTTGCGTCAATCTCGCAATTCTGTCACAATTTGTAACAAACTGATATTTCATGTTACTTTAGGCTACTTTTAGTGATTTTCACGTTTTTTATATTATTTTGGGCTGAACATTCTTTTATTT